AGCAGGTCCCGGCCAAGTGGGCCACGGGCTCACGCACAATCCGCCTGCAGTGGAGTTTTTTGAAACGATGCAAAATGCGCGGGGAGCTTTAGCGCGACGCGGCATCGACGCGTGCGACCGTGCCGCAGAAGCGAGACTCGATGGGCAAACCTCCACCAAATTCGTAGGTGGCTTCCTCCGATTACATTTTCCTGTCGCGGCCTGCAAAAAAAAAGAATCTGATGCCCGCACGAAAAGCTTTTTTTCTACCTCCCCTCCCTCTCCCCCCGTTTCCCGGTGTAAAAGGCTGCCTTGCTCGTGTGCCGCACACCTCAAAAGCACCTTTGAACATTATCTCCTCTTTAAGGTTCTGACAACGGAAGGAAATTTGAAATTCTTTTGAACGCGGCCTTTACACTGCGGAGGAGCGCCGCGCCGCGCACACTTTGCGACGGCGACGTTCTGGATGGCCGATCACTCTCAAAAACGAAGCGGAATGGGAGCGCTCGGGCAACGGGCGTTGACGGCTCCATTACCGCGGCCCTCGCTCTCAAACGTTCCCCCTATCCGCCTGCCTTCGCCACGCAAGTCGGCGCTACGACGTTAAATTAAAATAAATCACAAATGTCGGCTTGAACTTTCACGTCGGCACGGTCGGCGCCACTGGCGGAAAATGCCAGCGGCATCTTCGCTCGCGGATTACTTTTCGCGAGGTGTTGATAGTGGCAATCGCGCGCGTTCACTGCGGACGGAACATCGGAATGAAAAGAATCGACGCAGGTCTTGGGACGCGAGCAACGAACGATCAACAATAAAACGACAACGCATTTCGGCCAACAACATTGAGCTTTTATTCAAGAAGTGTGACCGCGTTTGCAGATGTCGTTGGCGGAGAGGGCATTCGTTCGAAAGCCGCCGCGCTTTCGAGGATGTTCAACGCCACCACCGGACCACGGATGCCCAGTCACGATGGTCAACGGGAGGTTATTCTCGTGTTCTGCCGGCTGCTACTGCTGCTGCTCCAAGGAAAAGACAGAACCTGGCAAAAAAAACGTCCTAAAAAAACAAAGCTTTAAAAAAGAAAGTGATCATGATGTCCCGTGCGTATATGACGACGGGAACAGTTTAATCGGTCTAGTATCTGGCTTATGAAAATAAGAATCATCATCATGATCGTGATCATCGGTCATCCATGCGGGGTTGGTAAAATGGATGACACCTTATATGGCTGCACCGCTGGATGGGAAATATGGCCTAGAAAAGGCCTTGATCTTGCCTGTATAAGTTAAACGGGTACCACTCATTAGCAAGTCAACACGTTGTTGTATTGATATGGAGATCATCGGTTAGAGAAATGTGTAATTTCCTACTGTGGGCCCAGAAACACTCCAGAATTGGACCGCGAGGATGGTCAAATTCACAAGAGGGCTCGGGTCACGATTGGGAACACTTAAAATTGTTTATACACTCACTGGGTATCACCAAAACTGCAGAAAAACTAGTCAACTATTATTTTTCTTTAACCAGTTAATGCTCACTGAGCAATGCAACTTTTTCAGAAGTGACGTGGCTATCACAAATGATAGCTCAACGAAGTGGCTTATCACCGTGTGGAGAATTATAGCAGCCAAATACTCTAAACGCGTGATGTTGATTCTAAATGTGTGGGGAACCAGAGGACCCGGAGAAAAATCCACGCGACCAGGGAAAAAACACGCAAACTCCAAATATACAGCAGCAGGCGTCAGGGTCGGGATCGAACCCAGGACCTCCTGTATACCAGGCGAGGTAGTTAACATCTCGCCACCACCGCACACGAAAGTAAAAGTGTGCGGTGGCATCAAGAGCATTGCCCACAATTAACTCAACTTCAATAACGTTCATCGACATTACAGAGGGAGACAATTCAAAGAGACACGTCCTGCGTGCAGCGCTGCTCCCCGAAATGTGGGACCACGTGACGGAGGCGTTGGGCATGCATTCGCCAATCCCACAAATAACGTAAGCACGCGTTCACACAAACACGCCGACTCGGGCGTCCGAGGGTGAGTTTTCATTCGTTGCGGTCTTGTGAAGAGGTGCCGATGGAGGCGAAGCACAACAAGTGTTCTGAACGGGTACGACTTAACGTGGCAACAATCGGGAGCAACCAGCCGTGGCTGGAGCATGAACCATCGTCGGCGCAAACTCCGGGGGTCGTCTCCTCCCAGCAGCGGCGGCTTTAGGCTTGGCCACTGAACAAAGACGGTCACTCCGCATCGCGCGCTTTAACACGCGCTGCTGCGGCCGTCTGGAACGTTCTTGCTTCCGATATTAGGAAGCCACCGGAGCTATGCACTGTGGAATCCAAATTGAAAAACGAATTTCTTTAGAACTGCTTCTTGTGCGTTCGTTCGTTGTCCTTGCTCCGCACCTCCGATTAGCACGGTTGGCTACGTAGGGTGCGAAAGAAGTTCCACGCACATGCTGACTTCAGTTCAACACGTAGGCTTTCGCGACCAACATCATCCAAATAGTTTTTTTGGGCTAGATCGTGTAAATATATAAATGAGTTGCTAAACCCGCCACCACTGTCGCCTGATGAAGCTAGTTGAAGTTACTGGCGAAACGTCGTACTCAGATTGTAAATGTTGTGGCTTGGCACTCCAACTCACCGGTTAGTGCTGTACTAGTGACGAATTGGCCACGTTCTGTTTACGTGACAACCCTTACTAGTTGGCTGTGTCGGGTGGTGGCGGGTTTTAACGACACATTCATAGATTTACGCGATCTAACCCAAAAAACCTCTATTATGGATATTGACTTCCGTGAGTTTACTCTGAAATTCACTCATCGATTCTTCCTCCTCCTCCTATGTTGAGGACTCTACCAGACACCGACTTGGTTCCTCTCTGCCATCGCACGGTGTTCAACCACCACACTGCAGGTCACATCAACCCACTCACCCACCCGTTCACTACACGTACCCACCACACTGCAGGTCACAACAAACCCACTCACCCACACGTTCACTACACGTACCCACCACACTGCAGGTCACATCAACCCACTCACCCACCCGTTCACTACTCGTACCCACCACACTGCAGGTCACATCAACCCACTCACCCACCCGTTCACTACACGTACCCACCACACTGCAGGCCACATCAACCCACTCACCCACCGTTCACTACACGTACCCACCACACTGCAGGTCACATCAACCCACTCACCCACCCGTTCACTACTCGTACCCACCACACTGCAGGTCACATCAACCCACTCACCCACCCGTTCACTACACGTACCCACCACACTGCAGGTCACAACAACCCACTCACCCACCGTTCACTACACGTACCCACCACACTGCAGGCCACATCAACCCACTCACCCACCCGTTCACTACTCGTACCCACCACACTGCAGGTCACATCAACCCACTCACCCACCCGTTCACTACTCGTACCCACCACACTGCAGGTCACATCAACCCACTCACCCACCCGTTCACTACACGTACCCACCACACTGCAGGTCACATCAACCCACTCACCCACCCGTTCACTACACGTACCCACCACACTGCAGGTCACATCAACCCACTCACCCACCCGTTCACTACACGTACCCACCACACTGCAGGTCACATCAACCCACTCACCCACCGTTCACTACACGTACCCACCACACTGCAGGTCACATCAACCCACTCACCCACCCGTTCACTACACGTACCCACCACACTGCAGGTCACATCAACCCACTCACCCACCCGTTCACTACACGTACCCACCACACTGCAGGCCACATCAACCCACTCACCCACCGTTCACTACACGTACCCACCACACTGCAGGTCACATCAACCCACTCACCCACCCGTTCACTACACGTACCCACCACACTGCAGGTCACATCAACCCACTCACCCACCCGTTCACTACACGTACCCACCACACTGCAGGTCACATCAACCCACTCACCCACCCGTTCACTACACGTACCCACCACACTGCAGGCCACATCAACCCACTCACCCACCGTTCACTACACGTACCCACCACACTGCAGGTCACATCAACCCACTCACCCACTGTTCACTACACGTAACCACCACACTGCAGGTCACATCAACCCACTCACCCACCCGTTCACTACACGTACCCACCACACTGCAGGTCACATCAACCCACTCACCCACCGTTCACTACACGTAACCACCACACTGCAGGTCACATCAACCCACTCACCCACCCGTTCACTACACGTACCCACCACACTGCAGGTCACATCAACCCACTCACCCACCCGTTCACTACACGTACCCACCACACTGCAGGTCACAACAACCCACTCACCCACCCGTTCACTACACGTACCCACCACACTGCAGGCCACATCAACCCACTCACCCACCGTTCACTACACGTAACCACCACACTGCAGGTCACATCAACCCACTCACCCACCCGTTCACTACACGTACCCACCACACTGCAGGTCACATCAACCCACTCACCCACCGTTCACTACACGTACCCACCACACTGCAGGTCACAAGACAGCTCTTTTGACATCTTGCGTCACTCTGCTCCACTTCGGATTTCACGTCCACCTTCTCTCTTCACGAGCTCTTACAATAATCCACCTCGCTCAATTCAAGGAACATCACCAAACACCACTTTTAAGGTGCTGTTTTCTATGGGGCCGGAGGACATTTTGGGCCTTTGGGCCTGTGCTTAGCAACTGTCTTGATTTTTTAAAAGTAATTTGATTAAATGCCTTTCTGCGGTTTATAAGTCTCAGCTATTAAATCGAACGCTGCTGCTGCTGCGACTAAACCCGTCGGCGCCAAAAGACATTTCAAAGCAAGACGCACATTCATATGCCGACGACACACACACACCACACACACACACCACACACCACACACAAACCACACACACACCGCACACACACCACACACACACCAAACCAACCCCACACACACCACACACACAAACCACACACACAGACACCACACGGAAATCCGCCCGTCATGGTGGCGCGTTAGCCCACTTGGCAAACGATTTATTCTCAAGCAGATGCTTTTTTTTTTCTAAATCACATTGACGCTTGGGGAGGGTGACAAAACGGTGAAACACGAGGCCACGATTCCCCCCCCCGTAACGCCAACGTGGAGGCCTGAAGCCGCCCTCGCGTTCACAAAGCCCCGCCGCGCTACTGGCCGGCGGTGGCAGCCCAGCGGCGGGGTTTAGCCCCCCCACTTGTGCCGAGCGCGATGTCGACCGTCGGCGCGTGGTTTGTGTCTCGAGTGCGACGAGGTCGAGCCTCGCGTTCCGCCTCGGTCTGGGCGCGACGCTCGGTGCGCTCCTCCGTTGCCGGGGCATCGCCCTCGGCGACTCACATCCGGTGCCTGGCGGAGTCTGGCACGGTTACCGCGGTTACGACCCCTCGTGTTTTGCCGCGAGTCTAAGTCCGAGGGTGGATGGGTGGGCGCGCTGTGTCAGGTGGTGCCGCTCACAGCGAGGGACGGATACAGGGCATGTCTGTGCATGTGTGTGCGTGTGTGTGCGTGCGTGTGTGCGTGTGTGCGCGTGTGTGCGTGTCCGTGCATGTTGTCTGTGCGTTTTGTGTGTGCGTGTGTGTGGTTGTTGTGGGTGCGTGTCTGTGCGTGTCCGTGCGTGTCCGTGCGTGTGCGTGCGTGTCTGTGCGTGCGTGTGCGTGCGTGTGCATGCGTGTCTGTGCATCTGTGCATGTCTGTGCGTGTCCGTGCGTGTCTGCGTGTGCGTGTCCGCGTCCGCCTCTACTGCTCTCTCTTGTGGGCGAGCACCCACTGCTCCTCCTCCTCCACGCTGGGCAGCACGATGGAGTCGCGGTCGTAGTAGTCCGGCGTCAGGATGGGCAGGCCGGCGCTCTCGCGCTCACGCACCAGGCGCTCCGCTTCGCGGCGCAGCCACACGCGGGGTCTGCACGCGGCGCACAGACGACAAAGAGAAAAGTTTGAACCACCCACCCACCACCCCTGCCACCGCGGTCTCAACAGACTGTGGAATACTGTGGGGTACACGTCGCTGCGATGTGAACATCAGCGCTGGGGTGATACCGTTGGCCCACACCGCAGCGCCGGGCAAAACCGCCGCAACTCCCCGCTTTGTGCCAAGCTGCCCTTAGCAGGTGCTCGCTACAAAGAGTATTTGCCCCTGCGGTCCCGATGAATAAAGGATTTAGCTTTTTTCCCCATTTGCACATTTAATCCCACACACTTTGTCATCGCAAGCAATTCGATGTCATTGCAGAACACGTGCTGCTCACTCAAGGGGCACGGGCTGCACGCAGCACAAGCGGCATGCCCGATGCGCAGCGCTACTTATACGCACGTGACAAGCAGGCAAAGTTTCGCCACGTCCGTCGAGCATTCACGCGGCACGGACGCGCGCGGGCCCTCTCCTCTGTCGCGCGAGACGTTGACGAACCTCGCCTGGCATACAGGTGGTCGAGGGTTAGATCCCGATCCTGACGTCTGTATATTTGGAGTTTGCATGTTCTCCCCGTGGTCGCGTGTATTTTTCTCCGGCTCCGATTTTTCGCTCCACATTTAGAAACAACATCACGCGTTTAAGAGCATTTGGCTGCGATGCATTTCCACGTGATAAGCCACTTCGTTTGGGCTATCATTTGTGGCCAGGTCGCTTTTTGAAAAAGAGCTGCATAGCTCAGTGCACCTTACCTGGTGAAAGAAAAATAGATTCGTTTTAATAGTGATGACTAGGAGCAATGGATCAGCGGACTCACGTTTGGAACATGAAGCCAACACCACAAGAGATCCCGGATTCAAATCCCGTGTTTTTTCACCCGGCCGTGAGTAAACCAAGCTATCGAGGGGCGCCGTGGGGTTAGGGCGCGTGGCACACGGTGGGAAGCTACGGCTGTGCAAGGTAAGGCCCACTGAGCTATGTAGTTCTTCTGTCGACTCCACGACAGAAGAACTACGGCTCAACCCATCCACTCGACGGCAGCGATTTCCTGCTTCACGGGAGCAATGAGATCGTGCACATCGCCCATTTACAGCTCTGAGCTAGTGGTGAAAATTCCCGAGCGGAGGGGCGGGTGGGTGAGTCTATCCATAGGACAACCGCGTTGACTTCCACACAAAACGTGGTACCCATAACTCTGGAACTTTACCCGGGGCCGCTGGGATACGTGTGAGATTTTAGCAGGATGTCCTGATGTCTAAATAAACAAATGTATTACTTGACATTAATTCGCGACCTCGCAACCCGGGGGCATTGTCGTTGTGGCAAGCCAATGGGCATTCTAATCTTGTCCGTGTAATATATAAAAAACGGCCGGCTCGTTCAGCACCAAGACAGGAGGGCGGGGCGCGGAAATTAATGGTCAGAAAATACGCACGCGTCCGCAGCGAGTGCAGCGAGAGAACTCGGGGGAGAGCGGTGGGAATTCATTCGCAGGCGAAGATAGAATGAATTAATGTTTCCAGGCGAAAAGGTGCACATGCAGCGAAGTCCACTGGATGGGACGGGACGCGGCGAGTGATTTACCGTTTCCATAAAAGCCGCATTAGAGAGCGCCATCGCGACGGGAACGCGGGGGGGGGGGGGGGGGGGGCCGCATGGGCTCATTTTGCTAATCAGATTTGCGTCTAAAATAAAATAAAAACATCGCATAACATTGCCCATCCCATCCACTCCCCCGAGGTCACAAACACAATGGGATTACGTGTTCGTACGAAGCGTCACGACGTGCACACTGAACGCATCACCTCCTCACCAATACACGCAATTATAGAGATCGCCCGTGTAGCCTGAATGGACTGCCGGGCAAAGTGCTGCTAGCGAGTAGCACCTATGAAGGCCGACAGGGCACACGAGGGGGTCGGTGGCCAACACCACGCACACGCCGCCTTTGTCTTCCTTCGCGGCGATGTTTTTTACACACCGCCCCAGGTGCTCATTTGAGGCTGAGTCAACCTAGAGGAGGCCCAGGTCCAGTTCAGATCATCATCGCTGGTGTTGGCCGTGAGCGGGAACCGCCGATGGGCACGCACGCACATGGGTACACGTGCCCCTGCGCTAGGCCTCCGACGGTCAACCCCCTTACCACCACACCTGCAAATCGATTAACTTTCATTTTTTTCCGGGCGGCAATTCGATTCAAGAATCAATCCTTTTTTTTTCTCTCTCTCTCTACTGTTGTTGCAAGCTTCTCGAGTGTAAAATAAAGCATTAAATTATCTCCGGTGTGCGACCGCGGTCACCCACAAGAGACCCGCTGTTTGTCTCTTTGTGATCACAGCAATCGGATATATGCACACTAAAATACGGAGGTGTCATCACCACGGCGGTGGATCACTCCGCTAACTCCCATGCAAGCACACGTAAAGGGTCACTGAAGACCCATCCCTTTGGTCAGACACAAATCCCTGCGGGTTGATCTGTCTGTCGCTCGTCACCACTATTTGATCTGTGGGGGCCTGTTTAACTCGCTCGGGGCAATGGGTTGACAATCCGTAGGTTTTTTTTAAGTTTAACCGTGTAGACCTTCTTTTATTGTGTCGCGTAATTTAAATGTTTAGCGATGGAATGTTACGTACGTTTTTAATGCCTTCCATCTGTGAAGCGGTCTGGGCGAAGCTCACTGTGAAAGGCGCCGCGGCTAAATAAAGTTCGAATGATTGATTGACGCAATCATCTGTCTCAACCACCTCAATGTCAAATCAGAGCCGTTGCTCTACATCAACATCAGCCGTACGAAGAAGAAAAAGCGATTGTAGTTGCTACGTAAACTAATACAATGCAACATAACATCATCATTTATGTTGCAATAAACCAACAGATCAAAGGCTAAGAAGAGTAACATCTCAAACTTTTCTCGATGGCGTGCCAGTTCTGAAATTCCCTTTCGACGTTGGTGGCTGGCTCCCGGTTAGTTAGCTTGTCACCGTGCTGATGCTACAAATAAAGTTAATGTACAATACAGCGGTACCTTTTGTACACGCCCCATCAACAGACACGCGGGCCTTCTGGGAAGCATGTGAATTCAGCACTCTTGGTTCAACACAAGCGGAATTCGTAATGTCAAACTGACAAGCAGAATTCTGGAGCCGATTTCGACATTCGACGTCTCATCATCAGCAGTCAGGCTCTGCTTGAACCATTGCGGGTGAACTGACCAGATGTCTACAGGGGAAGGGGATCCACCCCCGGGGACCCCTCCACGGGTCCTAGATCGATGCAACCCTTCGTGGTACGTAACAACAAATGATCACGACCGTCATGTTTGAGATATAAGTAACAAAATAAGCACCCAATATGCCTCCTTCAGAATGCCGTGCGGCCGATTCTGATATATTATTTTTATCTGGAGGGACAGATGTATACTGCCCGCTTATTGATTTCCTGAGACATCGGTAGCTGGTCGCGATTAGTTCGTTTGGCGATGTACAGAGAGGATACAGATCTTTTGAGGCTTCCTCATTTCCTCTCGACGCATCTCATCACGGCGGCGTCGCTCTTCGGGCGTTCGGAGCGCTCCAAGACAAAGGCAGCTGAACGAGGAGGGGGCGACGGTTCTGTCCAAGAACCAAAATCATTGTTTCGTATTTATTACAGCGGTTCATCGGTGATGGCCAAACGGCTCCCGGTCTGACGAATAGAATGTTGTACGCCGGCCTTTGACAATGTTTCAGGCCGGAGAGAGGGGAGGGGGGGAGAGTGAGGGGGGGGGGCGGTGAGGTAGGAAATAGATAAAAGATGCGCTCGGAGTGAGTGACAGACAAAAAGCCACGATCACCTTGGGCCGCGGCGGGGAAAACAGACTCGGCCCATTGTTGAAGGCTTTTCTCTCTCTCGTCTCTCTCTCGTCTCTCTCTCGTCTCTCTCGCGTCTCTCTCTCGTCTTCTCTGCTATCCTCACGCTTTGTGCGAGCGAGCCACAGACGCGGCAGACAACAAAGAAAATCCTTTCTGGGAGTGGGGGGGGGAACAAAAGAATCTGGGTTTTTGTAAGGCAATAAAATCTAATCATAATAAAATAATAAGAAGAAGAATAACAAAAATAGGCAAACATTCCTTTCTGTAATCTCGACCTTGGCCCCACGTCACTGCAATTCTGTCTGACATTTTGCGGGGGGGGGCAGGGGGTGGTTCTTTTAGCGCTGCTCTGTATTTATCTTGTTCGCATCCCCGCATTCAAACACAACGGTCGTTCTCGTTTGTCAAGTGTTCCCACTACCGATATTGTGCTGCGCGCAAACAAAAAAAGGAATAATGTTATTTTTTGTTTGTTTCTTGCGAATCTCAAAGCGCGCATTAATTACAGCCAGCGCTCACGCTATGTACCGTATGTGCGCCGAACGTCTTTCGCACCACACGTAGCCAACCGTCTTTCGCACCACACGTAGCCAACCGTCTTTCGCACCACACGTAGCCAACCGTCTTTCACACCACACGTAGCCAACCGTCTTTCACACCACACGTAGCCAACCGTCTTTCACACCACACGTAGCCAACCGTCTTTCGCACCACACGTAGCCAACCGTCTTTCACACCACTCGTAGCCAACCGTCTTTCACACCACTCGTAGCCAACCGTCTTTCGCACCACACGTAGCCAACCGTCTTTCACACCACTCGTAGCCAACCGTCTTTCACACCACACGTAGCCAACCGTCTTTCACACCACTCGTAGCCAACCGTCTTTCACACCACACGTAGCCAACCGTCTTTCACACCACTCGTAGCCAACCGTCTTTCACACCACACGTAGCCAACCGTCTTACGCACCACACGTAGCCAACCGTCTTTCACACCACTCGTAGCCAACCGTCTTTCACACCACTCGTAGCCAACCGTCTTTCACACCACACGTAGCCAACCGTCTTTCACACCACACGTAGCCAACCGTCTTTCACACCACTCGTAGCCAACCGTCTTACGCACCACACGTAGCCAACCGTCTTTCGCACCACACGTAGCCAACCGTCTTTCACACCACACGTAGCCAACCGTCTTTCGCACCACACGTAGCCAACCGTCTTTCACACCACACGTAGCCAACCGTCTTTCGCACCATACGTAGCCAACCGTCTTTCGCACCACACGTAGCCAACCGTCTTTCACACCACTCGTAGCCAACCGTCTTTCGCACCACACGTAGCCAACCGTCTTTCACACCACACGTAGCCAACCGTCTTTCGCACCATACGTAGCCAACCGTCTTTCACACCACACGTAGCCAACCGTCTTTCGCACCCACACGTAGCCAACCGTCATTCGCACCACATGTAGCCAACCGTCTTTCGCACCATTCGTAGCCAACCGTCTTTCGCACCACATGTAGCCAACCGTCATTCGCACCACACGTAGCCAACCGTCTTTCGCACCACACGTAGCCAACCGTCATTCGCACCACACGTAGCCAACCGTCTTTCGCACCACACGTAGCCAACCGTCTTTCGCACCACTCGTAGCCAACCGTCATTCTCACCACACGTAGCCAACCGTCTTACGCACCACACGTAGCCAACCGTCTTTCGCACCACACGTAGCCAACCGTCTTTCGCACCACACGTAGCCAACCGTCTTTCGCACCACACGTAGCCAACCGTCTTTCACACCATTCGTAGCCAACCGTCTTTCACACCATTCGTAGCCAACCGTCTTTCACACCATTCGTAGCCAACCGTCTTTCGCACCACACGTAGCCAACCGTCTTTCACACCACTCGTAGCCAACCGTCTTTCGCACCACACGTAGCCAACCGTCTTTCGCACCACACGTAGCCAACCGTCTTTCGCACCATTCGTAGCCAACCGTCTTTCGCACCACACGTAGCCAACCGTCTTTCACACCACTCGTAGCCAACCGTCTTTCGCACCACACGTAGCCAACCGTCTTTCGCACCACACGTAGCCAACCGTCTTTCGCACCATTCGTAGCCAACCGTCTTTCGCACCACTCGTAGCCAACCGTCTTTCACACCACTCGTAGCCAACCGTCTTTCGCACCATTCGTAGCCAACCGTCTTTCGCACCACACGTAGCCAACCGTCTTTCGCACCACACGTAGCCAACCGTCTTTCGCACCACACGTAGCCAACCGTCTTTCGCACCATTCGTAGCCAACCGTCTTTCGCACCACACGTAGCCAACCGTCTTTCACACCATTCGTAGCCAACCGTCTTTCGCACCATTCGTAGCCAACCGTCTTTCGCACCACACGTAGCCAACCGTCTTTCACACCACTCGTAGCCAACCGTCTTTCGCACCACACGTAGCCAACCGTCTTTCGCACCATTCGTAGCCAACCGTCTTTCGCACCACACGTAGCCAACCGTCTTTCGCACCATTCGTAGCCAACCGTCTTTCGCACCACACGTAGCCAACCGTCTTTCGCACCATTCGTAGCCAACCGTCTTTCGCACCACTCGTAGCCAACCGTCTTTCGCACCACACGTAGCCAACCGTCTTTCGCACCATTCGTAGCCAACCGTCTTTCGCACCACACGTAGCCAACCGTCTTTCGCACCACACGTAGCCAACCGTCTTTCGCACCATTCGTAGCCAACCGTCTTTCGCACCACACGTAGCCAACCGTCTTTCACACCACTCGTAGCCAACCGTCTTTCGCACCACACGTAGCCAACCGTCTTTCGCACCACACGTAGCCAACCGTCTTTCGCACCACACGTAGCCAACCGTCTTTCGCACCACACATAGCCAACCGTCTTTCGCACCACACATAGCCAACCGTCTTTCACACCACTCGTAGCCAACCGTCTTTCACACCACTCGTAGCCAACCGTCTTTCGCACCACACATAGCCAACCGTCTTTCACACCACACATAGCCAACCGTCTTTCGCACCACACATAGCCAACCGTCATTCGCACCACACATAGCCAACCGTCTTTCGCACCACACGTAGCCAACCGTCTTTCACACCACTCGTAGCCAACCGTCTTTCGCACCACACATAGCCAACCGTCTTTCACACCACTCGTAGCCAACCGTCTTTCACACCACTCGTAGCCAACCGTCTTTCACACCACACATAGCCAACCGTCTTTCACACCACTCGTAGCCAACCGTCTTTCACACCACACATAGCCAACCGTCATTCGCACCACACGTAGCCAACCGTCTTTCGCACCACTCGTAGCCAACCGTCATTCGCACCACACGTAGCCAACCGTCTTTCGCACCACACGTAGCCAACCGTCATTCGCACCACACGTAGCCAACCGTCTTTCGCACCATTCGTAGCCAACCGTCTTTCGCACCACACGTAGCCAACCGTCTTTCGCACCACACGTAGCCAACCGTCTTTCGCACCACACGTAGCCAACCGTCTTTCGCACCACACGTAGCCAACCGTCATTCGCACCACACGTAGCCAACCGTCTTTCGCACCACACGTAGCCAACCGTCTTTCGCACCACACGTAGCCAACCGTCATTCGCACCACACGTAGCCAACCGTCTTTCGCACCACACGTAGCCAACCGTCTTTCGCACCACACGTAGCCAACCGTCATTCGCACCACACGTAGCCAACCGTCTTTCGCACCACTCGTAGCCAACCGTCTTTCACACCAAACGTAGCCAACCGTCTTTCGCACCACACGTAGCCAACCGTCATTCGCACCACACGTAGCCAACCGTCTTTCGCACCACTCGTAGCCAACCGTCTTTCGCACCACTCGTAGCCAACCGTCTTTCGCACCACACGTAGCCAACCGTCTTTCGCACCACACGTAGCCAACCGTCATTCGCACCACACGTAGCCAACCGTCTTTCGCACCACTCGTAGCCAACCGTCATTCGCACCACACGTAGCCAACCGTCTTTCGCACCACACGTAGCCAACCGTCATTCGCACCACACGTAGCCAACCGTCTTTCGCACCACTCGTAGCCAACCGTCTTTCACACCAAACGTAGCCAACCGTCATTCGCACCACACGTAGCCAACCGTCATTCGCACCACACGTAGCCAACCGTCTTTCGCACCACTCGTAGCCAACCGTCTTTCGCACCACACGTAGCCAACCGTCTTTCGCACCACACGTAGCCAACCGTCTTTCGCACCACACATAGCCAACCGTCTTTCGCACCACACGTAGCCAACCGTCTTTCGCACCACACGTAGCCAACCGTCTTTCGCACCACACATAGCCAACCGTCTTTCACACCACTCGTAGCCAACCGTCTTTCACACCACTCGTAGCCAACCGTCTTTCACACCACACATAGCCAACCGTCTTTCACACCACTCGTAGCCAACCGTCTTTCACACCACACATAGCCAACCGTCATTCGCACCACACGTAGCCAACCGTCTTTCGCACCACTCGTAGCCAACCGTCATTCGCACCACACGTAGCCAACCGTCTTTCACACCACACGTAGCCAACCGTCTTTCGCACCACACGTAGCCAACCGTCATTCGCACCACACGTAGCCAACCGTCTTTCGCACCATTCGTAGCCAACCGTCTTTCGCACCACACGTAGCCAACCGTCTTTCGCACCACACGTAGCCAACCGTCATTCGCACCACACGTAGCCAACCGTCTTTCGCACCACACGTAGCCAACCGTCTTTCGCACCACACGGAGCCAACCGTCTTTCGCACCACACGTAGCCAACCGTCATTCGCACCACACGTAGCCAACCGTCTTTCGCACCACACGTAGCCAACCGTCTTTCACACCACTCGTAGCCAACCGTCTTTCACACCACTCGTAGCCAACCGTCTTTCACACCACACGTAGCCAACCGTCTTTCACACCACTCGTAGCCAACCGTCTTTCACACCACACATAGCCAACCGTCATTCGCACCACACGTAGCCAACCGTCTTTCGCACCACTCGTAGCCAACCGTCATTCGCACCACACGTAGCCAACCGTCTTTCACACCACACGTAGCCAACCGTCTTTCGCACCACACGTAGCCAACCGTCATTCGCACCACACGTAGCCAACCGTCTTTCGCACCATTCGTAGCCAACCGTCTTTCGCACCACACGTAGCCAACCGTCTTTCGCACCACACGTAGCCAACCGTCTTTCGCACCACACGTAGCCAACCGTCATTCGCACCACACGTAGCCAACCGTCTTTCGCACCACACGTAGCCAACCGTCTTTCGCACCACTCGTAGCCAACCGTCTTTCGCACCACTCGTAGCCAACCGTCTTTCGCACCACACGTAGCCAACCGTCTTTCGCACCACACGTAGCCAACCGTCATTCGCACCACACGTAGCCAACCGTCTTTCGCACCACTCGTAGCCAACCGTCTTTCACACCAAACGTAGCCAACCGTCATTCGCACCACACGTAGCCAACCGTCATTCGCACCACACGTAGCCAACCGTCTTTCG